AATAAGAACAGCTACTATTTATTTTAGTACTTACTCTGTGCCAGGCCCTGTTCTTAGCACATTAATTGAGCTACTATTCATTTTTTACAATAACCCTAATGTGGTAGATATTATTATACCATTTTACAGATAATATTGAGTCTCTTAAAGGTTGAAGAGCTTCCATAAAGTTACAAGATTGCAAGAAGGGGGGCTGGAATTCTCTCTGAAATCTGACTTGAGAATCAGATTCTTAAACTGCACTTGTGTTTGTTTCTAAAAATTAAAGAGAAAAAACAAAACTTAGATTAAAAGGAGTCATGCCTGCTCTTTCAAAGAGGTCCCTAGATCTCTGCATAGAACTTTGACTCTGACTATACTGCTCATTTCACAACCCCTACTACTCTGATAGTTAACATATGAAAAGCCTTGATCAATGCCTGTTAATTAATTTGAGCCCCATTAAGATTTTTAAACTAAAACATATTTATAACAACAGCAAAAGTATAATTTGAATGGCAAACATATTTTACTGATCTGCTTATTTCATGCACATATCCTCATGTGGAAAGAGATTTATGTATCAGCCAATATCTTCAACATCATCTGTACAAACATTAGATAGATAGAATTCTTGAGGCATGTCTGTGTACCTAAAGATGTAGTGAACATTTTCTTTACTAATGAATTAGAGTTTGACCAACCTAGACAGCATATTAAAAAGCAGAGACTGAGGGAAAAAAGCTCAAAGATTTATGGATTTGACATCCCTTTCCTTTTTGGGGGTCTGATTTATAAATTAAGAAACTGAGACAGAGAGAGGTTAGGCAGCCTGACTTCAGTGAAAGCTTTATGCTTAAACTGAGTCTATCCAGACTACCAAATTTTCGTCTTTTAGCCCATTTATTTTCTCTGCCATTTTAAGATTATTATCAAGATCAAATAAAATATTCAGTGACTGTCCACCTCAAATTTCAAGCCTAAACATATAAAAATACAAATGTATTACTCTTATTCTTGCTTATTTGTGAGTGACATTTTAAAAATTCTAACCAATGTTGGAAGAAAGGAAAAAGATTATCTCATAGCAATGTATGGAAATTATGTGGCAGCTAAAGCAAATTATAAAAAAACCCAGCAAATAAATAAATATGTCTGTATTTCTTTGAGGCTTATGTTATCATTTCATGAAGCAGAGCCGTGAAATTCAACATTTCAAATTACTCTTCAGAAAAACTTAAAATCAGTATCCCCCCAAAAATATTGATTCTGTAAGACAATCCAAATAAGTGTGTAAAAACATCAATTTTTAAGATGATAAAGCATATGGAGATTTGTTTAAAGTTGAAACTATTAAATGATTACAACTTTAAACATGAATAAGAAAAACATATTTGAATAATAATTTGTAGATTGAAAACCATACGATCTCAGAAGGAAGCAAAAAAAATAAAAGATTTGGAGTGCTTACTGGCTACTCATTATCATTATAACTGAACTATATTCAGTGCATTTTAAGAGTAAGTCTAACCTTAGAAAAGTATAGTGCTTATGAAATTTGGGTCAGATGAAGCAGTTGTCTGAGAGTCATCAGCCTGCCTATCCAGTATCACTCTTCTGTCTTCTAGAGTTGCCTTTCAAAATATATGAAATGAGAAGGAAAGAAAAAATTGTGCTCAAGATAGTTCTTCTAGAAAAATTATTTCACTACTGCAGAATTTTAACTCAGGTGTTTTTACTATGAAAGTAGTTTCTACCCCATAAAATTAGTTTGAAGGTGATAGGTCAGCTTGCCATTTGTAACTGAACGTGTATGTAAGTTTTCACATTTTTCTAGGGAAATTGGCTAAAAATTATAGCTAGGTTATGACATGGGTCCATAATACCACATTCTGTTATTTTTTAACTATAGTTGTAAATATTGTTATTAATAATATGTGAAGTAGGCTTTAAAAAATGAAGAAAGAATATTATTCAACTCTCAGCAAGTGTTTAGGGAATATAGGCTCCATGCCAACCACTGATCTTGTTGCAGGTTTTTGCCTGCATAGAGCAGACAATCTGGTGGAGATTTATTTTCTCATTTTGGGTGGGAGGGCATAGTGCATGGCTAACCCTAAGTATTATGATCTAGGGAATCCTAACGTTTCTTCTCCATCTCCCTAAACCTTCCTAAATCACCAGGGCACCCAATTCACTCATAAGATTTTAAGTCTCTCACTGAAATTCTCACCTAGAATTGCCCTAACCTTACATTTTTTCAACTTTCTGGAAGCTGATGTGTGGGACTCATGAGAAAATACACCCCACTTACACACACTTGCTCATGTCAAAAAAGTCCAATTCCATTGCTATAATTCTATTTTATGGTGATGTGTTAGCATTGATCAGCATTATCATCTGCATCATTTGGGTCAGAAAATACTCATTCCTGATTAATGTCAGAAGAATCTCCACATATTAAAATATAAATCATCAGGAAAAATGAACAAAAAATAGGCTTGGGTAGCTTGAAAATCATTATGAGAGGTGATTAAAACTTAGAAAATCTGCCATGGAAAGCATTTTATCCAATTTTAAAGATTCCCTTGTGGTTCAGCTGTTAAAGAATCTGCCTGCAGTGTGGAAGACCTAGGTTCGATCCCTGGGTTGGGAAGATCCCTGGAAAAGGGAAAGGCTGCCCACTCAAGTATGCTAGCCTGGATAATTTCATCGACTGTTTAGTCCATGGGGTCATGAAGAGTCAGACACGACTGAGCAACATTCACTTTCACTTTTAAAGATTCTCAGAGAAATCAACCTTATATCAACTTTCCTGAGGGTTAATAAATAGTTCTTTCTCTTTTCAAGGAAGTATATTAAGAATTAATCTAATTCCTTTTCATTATAGCTTTAGTTCATTTCTCTTTTGCTGTCAATGTGCTGTTCTTAGTCATTCAGTCGTGTCCAGCTCTTTGCAACCCCATGGACTATAGCCCACCAGACTCCTCTGTCCGTGGGGATTCTCCAGACAAGAATACTGGAGTGGGTTGCCATGCCTTCCTCTAGAGGATCTTCCCAACCCAGGGATTGAACCCAGGTCTCCTGCATTGCAGGCGGATTTGTTGTCAATAGATGTTTGTTAAACCTTTATACATAGATGTTCAAGGAATAAGGGATATGGTATTCTTTATAATAATCCTTCTTCAAGATAAAGATAAACTGAAACACCAGGAGTAGCATTGAAATGTATGATATATTTAGTTGGCATAATTCATCTAAAATATACCAATTATATGAGTGTGCTTAATTTCTGAACATTTTCTCATAATAAATTAGAACTCATATCTTTATGTCTACTGGATGATAATAAAGAGATGATGATATTTATTATCATACAGTTTGATGTGGTTGATATTATTGAGATCTTACAATGTGCTTGGCATTGGATTGATCCCCTTTTAGGTAGATTTTATCGCATGCATTTTCTTCTTTAATTATTTTAACCATCTTGAAAAGTGTTGGGGCTTCCAAGGTGGTGCTAGTGGTAAAGAACCTGTCTGCCAACGCAGGAGACATAAGAGACATGGGTTTGATCCCTGGGTCGGAAAGAATCCACACCAGTATTCTTGCCTGGAGAATCCTATGTCCAGAGGAGTCTGGTGGGCCTGGAAGGCTACAGTCCATGGGGTCATAAAGAGTCAGACACGACTGAGTGACTAAACATGCTCGTAAAGTATTATCTCTCTATAAACAAGTCTTGGAGATCATACTCAGGGAGTCTGAAACCAGAACTTGCACTCTTACTCTGAAAAGTGAAGTGTTTATTAACAAATCCTATCAGGAAATTCATCAGCTGCATTATTGGCTCAATTACCATGGGTTTGGAAGAAATAACAGCTGTCTTGACCTGGTTAACTTTATAGCGCTTATCAGACACAGGCTTATTTATTCTGTTTTACAAGTTTATTTTCATACATGAATAAATGAATTTAGAAACTGACAGTGTTGGCTTCTGTGAAATTTCAAGGGTCTTTGTAAAAATAATTAGTTATCTGCACATAAATAACTAATTTATCCTTAAGTCAGTATGACTTACATCTTTTGGAAATGTAATTGTCCATGGTATGGATTTTGTAGAGAAAGGATGGGAACCTCTCTTTATCCTTATGTCGAAATAGCTACAAATTTATCATGGTGATGTGATAGCAGCTGCATGATGTTGTGAGCCATTCGGGTGGATTTGTCCAAAGTGCTGTTTGGAGTCCCAGAAAAGCACTGGGACTATTAACAAACAATGAGAACTACCCCACTACTATGGTGAAGTGCCTTTGGAAATGAGGGTATAAGGCAAACTTTGTTCCATATCAGTATACATTAAGAGTGAAATGGAATATTAGTTACACAGACTGAATGGATTTAGGGAAAACACCAAGTTCCGGAGTTAACTAACATTATTCAAACAGTTATTAATGCAGTACAGGGCAAGAGAAAACTTTTGGATCTTCATATTTTATGATTTTTCTGAGAAAATTTAAGATGTTTTCTATCTCAATTGTGATTTTACAAAGTTAATATATACCATGGATATATAGACCATAGAAGTGGTCCTATGTTTTAGGGGACTGGTATTTGAAAGTATTTAATTTCAAATGTTTCAGTGATGGTAAAACTGAAAAACCTCAGTATTTATATATAATAAACAAAGCATAATAGTCAACTAATAAAAGCAAATGCTTTAAGTACAAGTCTACACATGCTTGAAATAATGAAATTTCTATACAGATTTATTCAGATTATTTGAGTTAGCTACAGAGACTTTGTGTGAGTGTGTACACACATTATTTGAATGAAATTAGGTTAGAATAGTTCAATGAATTGATACCTGGATTTTATTTGACTGAAAAAAACTATCTTGTACATCAAAAGGCAGTAAACATTGTATGTCTTTTCATGCTCTATTTGGAAGTTACATGAACTGATAACAAATTTGAAATATTCAAATTTGGGCACAGTTTCTCACTATTATCCTCTCCCTACAGGTTGTGTATAAAAATAATGATGTAAGGCTGGAATTATCTCGACTTGCCAAGCAAGGTGACCCAAAGATGAAGATCCATGGAGTGGTGGCATTTAAATGTGAGAATGTTGCAACTTTGGACCCAATCACCTTTGAAACCCCAGAATCCTTCATCTCTTTGCCTAAATGGAATGCAAAGAAAACAGGCTCCATATCCTTTGATTTCCGTACAACGGAGCCAAATGGCCTCATCTTATTTAGTCATGGCAAGCCACGACACCAAAAAGATGCCAAGCACCCACAGATGATAAAGGTAGACTTCTTTGCTATCGAGATGCTGGATGGCCACCTCTACCTCCTCCTGGACATGGGATCAGGTACAATCAAAATCAAAGCCCTGCAGAAGAAGGTGAATGATGGAGAATGGTATCATGTGGACTTCCAGAGAGACGGACGGTCAGGTAATTGATCATTTTTTATGCTGTTTATCTGTTAGAACACCATTCATAAGGAATTAAGATCAACTCATATTAAAGAGTTCTTGCATTTCTCTCTTTATGGGAAAGGAAATTTTTATTATTTCTGTTTCACATCATATAAGAAACAGAATGAGCTAATTAATCGTCATAGTTGGGCATCAAACCCCAAATGCTCAAATGACTTCAAGAACAGCTTCTTAAATGAACATTAAATGGATAATCAAGTGCCAAATCTTGCAAGAAATTTTATCTTGAGTTTGCAAATGAGAAAACTCAAGGTTCTTATGTTCCCAATTATCTCTTATATCATTGGATGTTGGGAGGTGCCTAAAGTGGCAAATATAAAATCTGGGAAAAAAATCAATGATTCATATATCAAATCCTTAGTTTAATACAATATATATCAAGTCCTTAGTTTAATACAATATAGTTTTTATCCATGATGGGCCTATGATATCAAAAACACTTTAATCAATACAGGAGGATTTCAAGGATGCTGGCAAAACTCTGCTGCCTTCCAAATAGCTTCCCTTTCTGATAAAAGAGTTTTCAAATTCCACCAACAAGAATTTATTTCCTTTTGCTGAACTTATTATTATTATTTTTTTTTTTTTCTGAAGTCCTAGTGAGATGGGGGGAAGGAGGGCATGTGGTAGGGAGGCCTGAAGAAATACCATTTATTTACTCTGAAATGTGGAACTAGATTAGGGGGCTTAGGGAGTTGAGCAGTGTTAGGTTTATGTGGGCAAGGACCATACAGGCAAAGGAAATAGCATTTGGAAACCCAGAGGTGATGTGGGGGTGGGGAGAGAAACAATTTGTTTCAGGTCTGCAACTGTATATTATGTCATTCACTTTCTTCACCCTTTGCTTTCATGCTGATGGGACCTCACTTACAAATCAAGTTATCTTCTAATTGAAGATGGTTGAATTTTAGACTTAGCCACTCTCCTCTTCCTCCCCCAAATCTCCTATTTGGTTTTATAGTCTACCATCCTTTCTGGATTCCCCACTAGATACCAGTATAAGCTTGGCGTCAGCATGGTTTTATTGGCCTGGATTTCTCTCTTTGCAAAGCATCTTGGGAAGGATTCACTGGATTCCAGCACCAGGGACAGGGACTTAACAGTGATGGAGACTAGGATTCTACATGTTTGCAAAGTTTTCTTAAGGACTTGATTTGGTCAGCCACATTTGGAAACCACAGATCAGATGACACCGAGAGTGCTTCTTTCAGATCCAAGAATCTGTGATTACCATCCCAGGTTAGAAGGGCCTTGCTGAAGTGCTGGGGTGAGCTCCCCTTCTCACTCCCTCCTTTCACAGACCCCCATATCATTGTCTGTTTCTGGCTTGTCTGCAACAGAGCAGTTTGCCATTTTACAATTATTCATGCCTTCCTTTTCTGTTTATCTGTCTAGAAGATCATATTTACCTTTTTGGAAATATCTTTTTTGTCCACTAAAATAAAGAGGTGAAATGTATGAAAATTGGGAGGGAGGCAGGGGTGAGGGCGAAGTGTTGAAGGATGGTCAGAACCCATTGCTCTGATCCCCAAGAATTTTACAGACAGTTTCTGAAATTCTTCTCTGCAAACTTGGTCTCTGTGTTCTTTCATTCCTCTAAAGAAATTCAAAAGGAAAAGAAGCTACTGTTCTGTGTAGTCTGTGCTGTATTGTCATTTTCTCCAGCATCTTAGAGGATTGAGAGTAAACAGTGAAAAAAGTTTTTTTTTTTTTTTGTCTGTTGTATTATACTGTGCATTACAAATTGGATTCCTCTTTGTTTTTCCAGTTTAAGCTGAGAAGAGTTCATTGATATGAATACAGAAATATAGCAATAGGTGGCCACCTGTTGGTTTCCCCCAGCCTATTTCTATCAGAGTTAACAATTAATTTGCTTCTGAAGAACCTTCAGAAAGAAGACTTAAAAGAGGATGGGAACATGACTAATCTTGTGTTTGACATACTAACTTATGGATGCTATCACTTGACTTAAAATATATCTAGAACTAATTTTGAAAGTGACTTTCAAGAATATATATAATTTTAGTCAGATATTATAACAATTTAAAACATAACTGATCAGATTAGTAGGTATCTTTTGGAAGTTCAAAGGGGCAAAAAAAAAAAATTCTACACTTCAGATCAGTTGTATTTCTTTCACCTAAAATTTTTTCTAGGTATTTTCTAACTGTATGGAAAAGTATGTAGTTAATGTCAAATTTTTTTAAATGCAAAATAGTATGAAATGGAAAGTAAAACCATTCATTATTCATTTGATAATAATGATTTATACCTGGATATTTCTTTCCAGTCTTAAGTGGTGATGCAATCTAATTAGTTTCCCAAGTTCCCTGGATGACCTATTACAATAAGAATCTGATTAATACTTTAATCCTCAAGCCAAGGAAAATCTACTTTTTTTTTTCTATCTAAGCTCTTTAATTCATCCAGGTTACCAAAATTTTATTAACAGCTCTGTTTATACCCTTATTGGAAAAGGTCAGAGCAGAAAATACCAACTTTAATTTACAAAGTTCAATGCTAAATGAGAAAAGGAAAGATGCATTAAGAGAATATTATTTGCAATAAGAAAGAAGATAAACAAATGGTGTATTTCTGTTAGAATCCAGTGGAAATATTTAGTACGCTTGATGTTGGTGTTTTGATGCTAAAGTACTTTAATTTGATAATGATTTCAGGTTAGTGAAATGAAACAAGCAATATAAAAGCCAATGTTCATTCACTAAACCAAATTCTGCCTTTACTAAATTGAAAAAAAAAAAGAAAAAGAGAGAGCTCATATTATGTTGGCCTAGCTCAAGGGAGTTTAATGTAGTTTTAATAACTGCAGCTGTTAATATTTTATATATAGTATTTTAATTAAGTTCTATATTTGCACATTTCATTGGTTTGGTATAAAGCAGCTTTTAAAAGATTGAATGACTAGCTGTACTAGCTTTTATTTTACTTAAAGGATATTTCTGAGTTATACTTGTGAAATACTAAAATTTATAGCTCAGTTTAAGCTAGGAAGGGGCTTCCCTGGTGGCTCAGATGGTAAACAATCTGCCTGCAATGCGGAAGACCTGGCTTTGATCCCTGGGCTGTGATCCCCTGGAGGAGGGAATGGCGACCCACTCCAGTATTCTTACCTGGAGAATTCCGTGGACAGAGGAGCCTGGTGGGCTACAGTCCATGAGGTCACAAAGGGTCAGACACGGCTGAGCAACACTTTCACTTTTGAAGCTAAGAAACATAGTATTTCAAGAAATAATTTGTTTCGCCCATATTTCAATCAGCTATATTCAGAGGCTACATGGAAATTACTCTTAATATAATATGGGAAATGATACTGATATGACAGGGCAACGTTGGCTGATTTCTGACAGATGGACAATGAAGGTCATAGCTATTGATTTATCTGGGAACCTCTTTGGCTGAATATTTTAAAAGCACTTAATGAGCCGTATTATCTCTGTTATTAAAATAGAGGAATCCTGGGCCTAGGAATTATTCTTCCTCCTATGACCATACTAAAATTAGTAGGGCCAGGAGTCATGGTCATTAACGATGCTAATAATTCTTGGCTATCTTGTTCAGACATTGAGTTAAAACTATATTGGTAGATAGATTGAATTTTTTATATTCCCCAGTTTATAAAGGAAATCCATGTATAACAAGGACTGTTTTATTTATGCTTATATCCACAGGTCCTGGTGCTTCTATATGCAGGAATAGGTGCTCTGTACATATTTGGTATAAGAAAAAGATAAGAATAAAAACATGTAAATGGCTCAGTGCCAACCCACCCCAGTATTCTAAAAATAGTAACATCATTACACTTCAAGAGTAATAGCACTCTTTTAGCTGTAAATGCAACTTTTTAAAGGAATTATGTTACTTCCTAAAAACAGCTTACCCAGTATAACAGGGTGACAGGTCTTCTTTTATGAATATAATGCCATCCTCCAAGCCAGGATGTCTGGGAAAAAAAATGCAGTGGGGGAGTTAAACACTTGTTAGATGATTGTGCTAAGCCTCGTATAAAAATGACAACCTTTTATGAGAACAACTGCTATTCCTGCTTGCTCATGAGCTCCCTGTGTCATGTAGCGAACATGTAGGTAGAAGGAGCATTGATCCTGAAGGAATGTGCCCGCTTCTTTCTGAGGGCTAGAATATGCAGCCACAGTAATCACACTACTGACGAGGAAGACAGTCACTCAAGATGTCCATTTTTCTGGTTATTTGTCCTTCTGTCCTTCGTTCACTAAGAGGTGGGTGCAGGAGCCCTTTGTTTAGTAAGAAATATCACCTTCATTTGAATACTGCTCCAGAATTTTTCAGCACAATTAATTGTATTAGGTTATATGTCCCTTCTTCCACTCCATAACTTGGGGAAAGAAAAACTTTTTCACTTCCAAACGTTGACTAACACTGTTTTGCCGCAGCTGTTCTCTCTGTAGTTCTCTGGTTGCCTGCTTAGTCTGTGACTGGTCACGTCGGGGGTTGAGGGGACTAAGCCACAAGTGGCATTTTCAGATCCTGCACCAAATGGCAAAGGAAGAACCATACAAAATGCCAGCCTGACTTTGGGTCAGAGTGTATGATTTGAATGTCACAAAAAGTGGATATGCTCAATATATAACATAATTACTTAACAGAGCAAGAGTCCTAAGTTGCTGAGTTAATAAATATGATTGATGGGACTCATTACTCCGCAAACTTTAAAGGATGAACAACTCAGTATTTTCTTACCAACCCTTCTTACCTTTTCTAGGGTTTCTCTTTTCCTCGCTTTTGCTCCTAAACTCAGTACTAGATCGCCTCCCAGGTATTTAACTAAAGGATGAATTGTGCTAAAATTAAGAGGAAGTTAATGACTGTTTTCTTGGGACAGAGACATCATTTAAATTTGCATTAAGCTCTTTGACTGAGTCAAGAGTATCCTCTCAAGTGTTTTAAACTGCCAGTCAT